CACGTTGTTGTTCTTTGTTAGAACGAATTCTGTTTTTTTCATCATGTAATTTAGAACGACCGCAGCGTCTATTTTTAGCCTGTGTACTATAACAACAACTAATAAATTTCCATATGCAAAACAGCCACCCGAGATCCGATACATATTCTCGACATATTGAGTTATTATTACATACACTGATTAAGTGTTTCGCAATAATTAAAGATAATACGCAGCGCAGGTGTTTTATTTACTATAAAAACTGCCTGTTCCTATGTAATATTGCGCGTTTACATAACCACCGGCATTTGTATTTATAGCAATTTGCATTTTGTTTCTTACTATCGAGTCAAGTTCGCCCACCACTTGTAATTACATTGTAAGGTCGAATGTAATGTTACTAAAACAGTTGTTCGTTAAATGAATCAAAATGTAATGAGGTTAAAAATATTAAGCAATTCGTAGCGTTGTCCGCCATTGTCCTTTTTTGAACCTTGCACTAAGTAAACAAGGAAATGCTGTAGATAATTATTACACATATAATAAAAAACGTACTTTAAAATTTGTTACACAAGTTAACAAATCAATAAAACACTAAATGAAGTAATTTGTACATCATTAATACAGCATAGCAATAAAAGTGGTCCCCTAATTGAACCCTGTGCCACACAATCAAAAATCGCAGAAAATTAAGTCAATGTTGATATATTTCCCATTTAAAATCTAAAATTAACATCCCCGCAAAGAAATTTGTTTCAAAATCAATATAATAATAATAACAAATTGTAATGCACATTTAAACAAAATTGTTTTTATTTTGAAGAACAGATATTTTTGTATGTGCATTTGTCACTATAATCTGGATCCAGAAAATGATATAATTGTGTGTACATAAATATTATAATTTATGGTACAAGATGACAAAACTTTGAAGTTTTTTACAACAATTACTAAAAAAGTATTTCATTAAATTGTCGTTAGTTGCTTGTTTTACACATTACCAGTACATTTTGTTACATTTTGCGACAACTCTCTTACAGCAAAATTATGTACTGTTATTGATTCACTCAACGGTACTATATTCAATTTAGACCATAGGAAGTGAAGAGACAGTGACATAATTTCTTTTTAAGTTTGGGTGCAATATTATTACAATTTTTTTACAACAATATTGTAGGACTTAATTTAAAACTCCAACTTGTAGATCACTTATACAACAAAGCGATTGAAATAGTCAAAAAATTGAACCCTGTGCTTCCCTCTCAACCTCAACCTCAATATCATACCATGACATCAACAAAACAATAAAACCTAGATAACCTCTCGTTTGGTAACAAAACTCCTAATTCTTTCAATGCCCATTTTTGTAACAATTATCTCAACACCCATTAACCAAAATAAACACTTAACAAATATGGTAAAAACTTGATTTCTTCAATGTATCACCATTGCTTAATTTCTCGTTAAGTGTGCTCATCTTGCCATCGGAGATGAAGCCATTTACTTTCACAGCTTGCCTCGATTGTATTGGCAATTATTTACTATTAAACGGTACATTGCTTTGTGGAAATGCCAACGATGATGAAATTTGATGTCAATGTCATATTTCTTCCTAAATCATATATGAAATGTCGGTGTTAATGCCTTATTTGGACGTTTTAACTGAGTTTGACGACAAAACGAATAAGGAAATACGTGTGCTCACAGAAAAGGAAAAATAACATTTGTTGTTTTATTTACGGCATTGCATAATGCGACTTATCTTTGATCTAACTGTTGATCAAAATCTGTGCACCTCAAGTATCCAAATGAGCATTATAGCAAGTTTCGGCATTTCTCTCGAATAAATTCTGTTCGGTGGTGTTTAAAAGGTGATTAGGATGAAGAAACGGAGACGGAATTCGAAATGAGGCAGCATTGGCGGGTGGGGGTAGGCAAGAGGAGCGGGCGGGGCGGTATGAGAGAGGCACGAGCAAGGTCGCTGTAGTAACGATTAACAAACTACGTTGAGTTGAAGTGGAGTGCAAGGCGAAGGTTATATCACATAACCTTCCTCAAGCCACACCGTGATACACTTTTCAATTTTCCATGGACAAAAAAAGTAGTTACTAAATCTGGGGATTAGTATTTTCATACTCCAAGACTAGCATTTTGTTTTTTTAGGAAGTCTTTGTTTTGTATTTCCACAAGCTTCAAATAATGTTTTAAGTCATGGTGCTTATTTTAAGTTAGAATTTCTAACCACAACTTCCTTTACATTTTTGAATTTCGACCATTTTGCTTTCCTAATGAGAAATTTGGTTGGTAAATTGCTCATATAAACTTCCCAGAACCTAATAAGTGCCGCCAAATGAATGAAAAAAATGTCAAAGAAAACCACAAATTTTTCAAATTTTGATAGTGATACTTTAATAATTACATCGAATTTTATTTATAGTATATATACACGGAAAGAAATAGTTTTAAATTTATGTCCATCCAACCCCCCAAAATTATATCGACGATCCGCTACAATTTGTATGAACAAATTTATTTGGTTGCATTAAAAAATGCAACAAAATTTTATAAGTAATGTACAAATTATTTTATCTCCACGCGGTCTACAATTTAAACTTTATTGTTGTCAACATTCGATAAAGAAATACCTTGTTATGGCCTAGGCCGATAAAAAATTTTATGAGGCAAGTAATTACTTCGATTTTTTCTCGCTAGGGGTATTGTTTTGACAAATTAATCCTTTTCTAAGAAATTAACGTACTAAACTGGTTTAATTTATTTATAATAAGCATTAATTTGTGTGTTTTACTGTTAATGTTTAATATTTTTCATTAAATTATTGTAAAGTTAAATATGAATAATAAAACAAAAAGTGAGGTTAGGCAACCAAGAAAACGCACGATTTTTTTTCTACGATTTAAATTATCTTTAAGTTTTAATTTGCTTTAAGTTCTCAGTGAAATTAAATGTTAAAAACAGCTTAAACATTCCAAACTACCTATTTTTTAAATAAAAATCCAAACAAATTGAAATTACCTACCTATTTATTAAACAATTAATTGAATTCAATGTAATAGCAAACATCCATTTCTACTTAAATCATGTTGCTAGGTATTGTCAAACTATTACTGCTTCTAAAAGCAATAATAATTATTGTACATTTAATTTAATCTTTAGCTAATAAATAAAAGAGATTCTAAAAAAGTGAGGTTAGGCCGCTTTGATGTTGAATTAAATTGACCTATATAAAGTGCTTTGAAGATAAAATGTTGTATGCCATTCGGCCAAGAAGTGCCTTTTTGTGCTTCGCTCAATTGTAGGCCTCCGCTACGCGTCGGCCTTCAAACCTTGTGCTTAGCACAAAAAGCCTTACTTCTTAACCTAATGACATAAATAACTATTTTTGACAATTTTGAGAAATACTATTTTAGTAATTCTTGTACCCTAAATTATAATATTTACACACAATCTGGACACAGATTATTGTGACAAACGCAACAAGTACATCACTAAAATGGCACATATAAAAATATGTGTAGCAACCACAAATTGCTGTTCTAGGTGTTGTAAGTTTCAGTCATAAATTTATACTTACCCAAACTTAGTTTGTTCAAATTTTATTAGTTTCTTAGACCGCATTTTTCGTGGTGGTTTATGGTGTCTGTTGTAAACCTTTATAATCTCAAGAGGGCTATAGATTTTTCAAGTACTATTTAATATTACTGCACAAAGGGTTTTGTTGGTTTATAATGCACTATAGTGTAGGTAAAAGGTTGTCCTTTTGGGATTACGAAATTCACAAGTGGAGAATCAAAAGATAAGACTCGTGCTTTCTTGTTGAGAAGTGGAGGGAGGAGAAGGCAACGTAAAAATAATGTATCCTAATAAAACAATAAATACTTCTTACACAAGTCCCAGTAAACAATTTTACTGCCGCGCTTTGGAAATGATGATACAAGATCAATAAAATTCCACACACAGCCCGATTTCCATTTAGATCGTTGACCTGAAATTTTATGGCCATATTTTTTGGGGTCGACACATTTTCAACACATGTAGTAGTTTTATTAGCATTTAAATTTAGTAGTGGATTAATTGTTCGTATGCGTTGGACAGCTATTGATATTGATGGCACACATAAAACAATTTTAAATTTATAATTTTATATATATATAAATTTATAATTTAAACTTTATTGTTGTCAACATTCGATAAAGAAATACCTTGTTATGGCCTAGGCCGATAAAAAATTTTATGAGGCAAGTTATTAGTTCGATTTTTTCTAGCTAGGGGTATTGTTTTGACAAATTAATCCTTTTCTAAGAAATTAACGTACTAAACTGGTTTAATTTATTTATAATAAGCACTAATTTGTGTATTTTACTGTTAATGTTTAATATTTTTCATTAAATTATTGTAAAATTAAATATGAATAATAAAACAAAAAGTGAGGTTAGGCAACCAAGAAAATGCACGATTCTTTTTCTACGATTTAAATTATCTTTAAGTTTTAATTTGCTTTAAGTTTTCAGTGAAATTAAATGTTAAACACAGCTTAAACATTCCAAACTACCTATTTTTTAAATAAAAATCCAAAAAATTGAAATTAGATACCTACCTATTTATTAAACAATTAATTGAATTTAATGTAATAGCAAAAATCCATTTCTACTTAAATCATGTAGCTAGGTAATGTCAAACTATTACTGCTTCTAAAAGCAATAATAATTATTGTACAATTAATGTAATCTTTAGCTAATAAATAAATGAGATTCTAAAAAAGTGAGGTTAGGCCGCTTTGATGATGAATTAAATTGACCTATATAAAGTGCTTTGAAGATAAAATGTTGTATGCCATTCGGCCAAGAAGTGCCTTTTTGTGCGAGTCGGCCTTCAAACCTTGAGCTTAGCACAAAAAGCCTTACTTCTTAACCTAATGGCATAAATAATTATTATCGTTAGAATTCATTCATTTTACTGCTAAAAAGTATGTATATTAAAATTAACGTTTGTTCTTGTTTCAGTTGAGGTGTGATACGTGGAAGGGCCAATGATTTCCGCTAGCGTGGAGGGACGCATACCCTACATGACCTACCCGGAACCCTGGAGAGGTCCCACCAAACAGCAGCAGGAGCTGTTCTTGGTACCTGCACCAAAACCCCTAAACAACAGGTACCTACCACCTCAACGCGAATAAAAACCCTTTTATTAACACTGCGATTGTTTCAGCCGGTACAATGGAGTGACCACCTCCTCCCCCAACGGCACTCGATTGGTTCCGCCGCTGGTTCAACCCTCCAGGCCTATCAGCAAGTACCCGTCTCCAACTTCGCTACCATCGATACCTGTAAGCCCGGTCAACTTGACGCAAAAAGATGACGCCTCAGACGACCTATCTCATTTCCACAGTCCGTACAGAAACATGTACCCCAACCCGTACTTCTCCTACCCTTTGTACCCCCAGCAACCACAACCGTACTTGCTTAGCAGGGGCTATAACTTGCAACCGACCCCGCTATCGCCCATGGAGAGTTTTTCTCCAAACATACCGACTCCAAGCAGCACTTCCACCTTCTTATCGCCGCCCAGCACCTTCAGCCCCCCCTCCTCCATGAAACCCCAGCAACAAACCATCCTCAGGGACAAGAGGACGCCACCGCACACGCCGACGTCCACAATCCAAGGCCACGCGATCCCTTTCAAGGTGCCTTCGGGGAAGGAAGGCTCCCTGAAGCACAGGATTCTGATTAGGCCGGAAGATCAGATCCGGAACGGGCCGTTGGATTTGCAGAAGCCCCCGGAGGGGCGAAGGCGCTTGCAGGCCACCATGTCACCTCCAAGATCACCAAAGAAAACTCTCAACAACAACACAATACCAGGTAGTTTTGCCAAAGGATCTCTTATACAGCTAGCGAGCGGTGATTTGAAGAAAATCGAAGACATGCGGACGGAAGATTTTATCATGTCGGCCGACAATAATCCCGAGTTGCGATTGGCTGAGAGCACTGTGGTGAAGATAGAAGAAAATAGGTTGTCTGGTTCCGCCACCATCACCTTGAGTTACAATCAACGGCAGGCACAGGTAAAGTCTTATTCTTTCTGCACTGCAGTCCTGATGACGGAAATCGGTATCTAAGTAAGAAATTAATTAAAAACTAGATACACATTTTTGTATCAGGGCAGCAGACTAAACATTAGCTAAGCAAAATTAGCTTTCGCTGACCAAACAGGTGTTGTTATTAATACTCGAGTACCAAGAATCCGAATCGAGTTCCACGAGCAATTTCCTTCACCTTTGAATCGCGCACATTATAAATAACGTTTGTGTTTTCATAACAGATTTTTTTTTCGGTCGTGAACGACCGGCCCACGCAACCGAATAGTTTCCAAACACAATTTGCCCACACCGACATAAATAAATTAATACATGTTGCAATTCACGCGCGAGGAGTGGTCTCTCTCTCTTTTAACTCCAAAGGTCGTTGAACGGTGAAGATGGGGTAAACAAAAGAATTTTCTCGCATGTTGAGCAGTAGAAAAGCTACCTCTTATTGGGGACTCATCGGTGAGCAATGCCACAAGGGTTTTATGTCGAAGAACTTGTTCTTTGATCCTATTATAAATCTGGTCCCATCACCTTGTAAACGCTTCACGTACGTACGATTCTACTACTACGAGCCAGCGCTGTAAAAAGAAGACATTGATGCCAAATTTAAGAGAGAAGGGCTTTGATCAGTTGGAATCACAACGATTTCTGATGCTACAAAGGAAAATAAATGAGCTCGAAATCAGAAACTCACGAGGTCGTTAATTGAGGTTGAAGTGAGCAACTTTCGTCCCCAGATCTGGGGAAATTCGATTGGATTTGGCGCCGATGGGTCGGTACTCTTGTTCCGGGACTGGATGTCCTTGAACGGCCCAGGCCTACTCTTCTTCGGTACGCGATCCCTCAGACGTATTTGTTGTTTGTGGGGGAACCTCTTCTCTTCTTTGATAACATGGCGCCGCGTTGGATTTCTCTTCTCCATCATTTATTACGTCCGATGCATCGTGACTGTCGGCTTCATTAACTCAGAAACTAACTAATGGACCGAACAATTAAGGTTCAAAAAGATTTTCACAGACGATTCAAAAAGTTTTTCAGTAAACTGCTTGGTGACAGGAAAAATAAAATCTAAAATTAATTCGACGGTTAGGTGTTTATATTACAGCTCGTTGGAGCAATAAATTGGTTAGTTTTGCTCGGATTTTATGAATTAAAACGAAAATTAACGACAGACCGGTGTTTATAAATATGAAATAGGTTGTTTTTTCTTTTTCAATAAGCCGTTTGGTGTAGGCGGATGATGTAAACGCTAAGTAATGTTTACAAATAGCGGCTGATTTATTTTGGCTTTGCCAAGTGTTATTTTTGAAATTTTGCGCACGAATTTTAAGAATGCTTTTTCTTAAGAATGATACTCACATACTAATGCGATTTGGCTTTTACTATGGACGCTGTTAATTTTTTCGAGCGGTGAACAATTTACTAGATGGACGAGGGCCAGCGAAATTATTCTCATAATACTTTGGCAGCCGAATCGTATAAATTTACACTTTTAGTGGATGGCCATTCGCAATTCGAACAACACCGCTATTAATAGCCATAATCGTTTAATTTATACCGATATGTACGTTCAGTTACCTCTTAATGTAATCACAACACAATTTTAAAAGAATTTATTTAATGTCAAGTTTGATTTTTCATTTTCAAATAATTAGTCAATCAATACACCTTCATTTACATACGGACATATGACATCACTCCGGTACCAGTACAGTGCCATCTCTTTTAGTAACGTGGCATTTATAACCTCTCCTCCTCTTCGTCTTCTTCTTCTTAATCTTCAACGTATGGTCCTTGCGCCTTAGGCAAGGTACAGCAAGGTCGCTGACCACATCTCCAACATGCCTCTCTCTCTTTTTTATTCGTTTTTTTAAATTTATTTTGTTATTCTTCCACCTTGATTCATCTCACTACAAAACCACTTTTCGATCGCGTGTTTTTACACTCCTGCCTAATAAGGTCGTGATTGTACTCGGCCGGTCATCACATTTTTTGGATTCCTGCTTTTTTAGTTTTAAGACTTAAGTGAATCCAATTAGGATTATCTATACAATAAACTTGGTGTTTAAAAAAAATTTTCTTTTATCTTTATGAAAATTATTTTGAAAATGCTCCTGTACCTACAATTTTGTGGATTATTGTTACATATATATAGTTTCACAAAATTGTAGTCTACGGTTAAGTTCCTGCGCTAGTCTAATTTTGTATGGATGATTCTTTTCTTTCTTCATAAGACATTATACTAAGCGTTGGCTGACTTGACTTTGGAATATCTCTGATATGTCCAGTCTTTCTGAATTTCCGTTCAATTTTACTTACCGTTGCACGCAGAGCCGGATTAAGGCAATTGAGCGCCTTAGGCACTTAAAAATTTGGCTCCTCTAACTAGATACTATACTTACGGGGCCCGGGGCAAATTTTAAAAAAGCTTATTAGAGCCACCCCAAACTGTTAGCTTAAGGGCGCCCGAGAATTATAACCCAATTATTCCCTATGAATTAAAATACTTTTTATCATTAAAAAAATACATAAAAAACATAAATAACATACAAACATAACAAATATAATGTAAATAAAAAGTGTTAGGACTGCGTTTTTCTGCAAGATGTCATTAGTAAGTATTTAAAAAAAATTAAATCAACTTTAATTTTCTGTATTTGTATGTTAGATGTACTGCTGGTTTATTGTAATTAGTTTAATATTAAAATTTCAGAAATACCTTAAAACAAACAGAAAAATTAACACATCTAAATGTGGATTTAGCCAGCATTTTGTGTAACGTAATCTAACGTAACGTAATATAATTTAAAAGGCAGGCTAAATCAACCTTAACTATCGAACACAGACTGCTATCACCAAACACACAACACATAGAAGTGCCACTCTTGAATAAACGCGAAAACACCCAAGTCCTTCCGGCAGCAGTTTCCTCTAGTATCGCGTACCCGCTGGGGTGAGCAGTACATCACAGGGTACCCGATGCAAGAGGAATGGAGCGTACGGGGGTTTTGAAATAGTTTTAAGGATTGCTAAAGATATGTTTATACAGAAGTATATTTGCGGCACGATTTTTGTCGGCTTTACACCTCGTTATTACAAAGGAAGCTAAATTTTTATAAAATAATAAAAACAGTAAAAAATATTTTGTTATTACAATTGTATATTGTTTATTTGTTTTATTTTTGGAAAAAATAAACATTTTGGTAGCAATTTTTATTTTTTTTTTTAAGTTGCTTGGGGACAAGGCGCCTATTTCTACGTGGCGCCTAAGGCAATTGCCTTGCCTGCCTAATGGGTAATATGGCCCTGGTTGCACGAGTTTATTGCCTTATTGGTCGAGCTGGATACTTTCATTAAAAAAATTGCAAACTTCTTGTTGAGTTTTAGTCTTACTGCCACTTCCTATAAGAATTAAAACTTCAACTAAATATTTTTACATTTAGTGGTGAAAATTTGTTTTAAATTATGTTTTTTATACATAATATATTATATAACAATTAAATGAAAATTTATTCCAAAACAACAAAAAACAGAACGTTATACAAAGCGAAAATTAAAATACAAAAATATGCAACAATTTTGATCATGTGTATATATATTTATATCGATATTTGCTATTTGTAGAAAAACAAAAACCATTAATGAAATCACAATTTCATAATCTATTCGAATCTCCAAAAAAGTCAATCTTAAAAAAATGGATTACGTCAGAGATTCTACATAAATAGCGCAAAATATAAAAATTGTTCATCAAAATGTTCGAAATCGACCTGTGATTTAAAAAAAAAAAGCCGAATTTTGTAATCAATTTGTTAATACGTAATTTGGTCATAAACCTTATTTTAATCTTTATCTTCTTCCTATTCTGCATTTTCTATATCTTTTTCATCTACTTTATCTTCTTCATCTATGTTTTTTTATATATCGACATTTACTATTTGTAAAATAACAAAAACCAATAATAAAATCACAATTTTATAATCTATTCGAATCTCCAAAAAAGTCAATTTAAAAAAATGGATTACGTCAGAGATTCTACATAAATAGCGCAAAATATAAAAATTGTACATCAAAATGTTCGAAATCGACCTGTGATTTTTTTGAAAAAAACGCCGAATTTTTTAATCAATTTGTTAATACGTAATTTGGTTAAAAACCTTATGTTAATCTTCATCTTGTTCCTATTGTGTATTTTCTGCATCTTTATCATCTACTTTATCTTCTTCAACCACTTCATCTTCCTCTTCTTCATCATAACAGTTTTTGAAAATTTTCTTCTATTTGAGTGTGACATCTGAAGCTTATGATATTTTTTTATTCAAGGTGGAAGTAGAGTCCCCTTTGGAACATCCGTACTTCGTGATGGGCAGGGGATGGGCTTCCTGCAACCCAGAAAGAAGCCAACAGTGCTATGGCCTTAGCGTGCACGGGCTTCAAGTGGGCGACATCCTCATCTCCCTAACGCCCCGAGAAAATCACCACCACCGACAACAACAACAACAAAGTCACCAACAACTAAGTCACCACAACAACAAAGCCGGCGGTGCCACCATCATGACGTCGGCGACGAACACGTCGATGACGTCACGGATGGTGACTACGACGCCAAACGATCGGCTTTCCCCGGATCGCAAACGGAGGTGGTCCGCTCCGGATGATATGTGCGAAGAGGAGCAGCAGCAGCAGCAGCAGCTGCAGCTGAGGAGGCACAGAATCGATTGAGTTTCGTTTTGTATTCGTGAATAATAATTATACGAACTTAATAATCAATTTTCGAGATATGTTGCTATATAGAATTGTTGCTTTTTTTAAATTGATATTGTGGCGATAAACAAGCGCCCAAATGTTGAAAATGTGGTGAAATGATGTCTTAAAAGATCATCTCGATACTGATGAAATAATTTGCACAACAAATGATGGTTGAATCCTATCACCACATAATTGTATATAGTCTCACATTTTGACGCTTTCCGTATGGCCGTATAACACGCTGTACTCAAACCTTAGTGCAATCATCAAGTGTTAAAAAAGTAGTTGTATAAGTTTTTTGTTTTTTTTAATCATGACAATATAGGGCAGGATGCAAGAGTTATGCATAAAAAGAACTGGAGTATTAAATTTTGGTGATATATTTGTTAACAAAAACAATAAATATAGTTAATGGTTTTGTTATATGTATGTTGGTTGTATTCTCAAAGGATGGTTGGGATTTGTTAAACCAATAAATTGGCCCAACAAATTTTAACTATGCTTTGTGCGCACGGCCAGTAGAGGAGCATAGGTGGCTGGTGCCACCTTCGATCTCAAAATAAAATAAAAGATTCGTGTGATATAGGACTGCTTTTAAATATTGTTCACGAAGATCTGTATTTTATTTACTTTTTAATACACTTTCATGTGGCATAAGAAGTGGTCATTTTTGTACTAAATTATTACTTAAAATCTGCATAAATGTAGTAATTATTAGAACTGATTTAGATCTCATTAATAAAAAAATATATAATAATAATTTAGTACACAAAGATTTCAATTTTATAAGGGATAAAAAGAGTTTCTGCTCAGACATCTGCATGATATCAAAATTGAAAGAAAAATTGCATATGTGTATTAGGGTCTGTTTTTTTAAATTTGTTTAATAGGGACACCCTAATGTGATCACCAAATAACTAAATATAATAAAAAGTTTATCGTACCGATCCTAGGAAAAATTTTAAAAGCACTCTTTGAAGAAAAGGCTTAATTAATGTTAAAATATTTTTCTATGTGAATTCTTGGCTGTGATACAGTAAAGTATGTGGAACGAGTGTCACTTCCCTCCATATCTTTATCTTTAAAGATCCTGAAAAATTACAACTGCAAATGCTGCGCATCGACGTAAAGTACCTCACTTGTGCTTAATATAGAATAATAAATATATAAAGGGAAATTATATAGTAAACGCTTTTATGTAATTAATAAAAATCGTTTGGTAAAAAATGTTTATTATATTGTACGATAAAATAAATACAGAATGTCTAAATTAATTTTTTATTTAATTTTGTGAGATATACATATCCTTTGTAAAATGAAAACGTATGTAATTTTCATTATTTTTATTGTATGGTTTTGTATTTGAACGTAGTTCAATAAAATTTACTTTATTTTGTATTAATAAGGGTATTGAGCTCAAGTATGGAGTAAAGCAAGAGCCTGTATAGAAAATTCAAAATAAGAGAGAAGACAATGATTTCGAAGTGCCTTTTAATATAAAAATCTGAGAGAGCTTCGGTTCTCGTAAATGTTATTTATCTATGTATAGAGGATCTATAAAAAAATCAACGCTAACAGATTATGTACAGATATATTATATAATATTTTACTGATACATGTAAGGAGTGCCATGTTGTTAAAATGTAAAGCCTACGTGGCGTTGCAGTCAAACCAATAAAATATATATGTATTAATTAATTTAAGATTTTTATTTTCACCCTTTTTAACAAAGTATTTTTCTACACATATAAACTAGCCAAGTAAATTAACCTAAAGTAAAATAACATTTAACCAATTAGTTGTATTTAACCATAAACATTTGGTAAGGTAAAAAATAACCCTTTACCAACATTAAGGTAAATTCAAAGATTTCTTTTTAGTATAATTTAACTAATAAATTTAACTATATGTTAGTTAAGGTTATTTCAAGAGTTTAAATTGAATATAAATAAACCAAATATTTAATTAGTTAGAAATATTACTTATAAGTTAAAAATTAGGTAATTTTAGAAGTTACATAGCCTTATATTAACTTATAATTTTAACCTTTTAAAATGGTTAGGGCTAGTTATTTTTTAGACATATTTTGGTTTAGTTTAACTTTTGATATAACTTTTTGGTAAATAATTTGGTTAAAAAAAATATATCCAAATTAACCAAAGCTGTGATTAATAATTAATCACAGCTTTGGTTAATTTGGATATATTTTTTTTAACCAACAAATTATATTTTACTATATGGGTGATTCTACAAAAGTTGGGCAACTTTTGACCTCATTTTGTTTATATAGTTTTCGGAGAAAATTAAACAGTATTTTGTTATGAGAACATAGATAATATGATAAATATACTGTTCCAGACCGGGCCAGTCACTTTTTCAAAAAGTTTCTAAAATATCTGTTTTCTAAATTTGAATGCAAGGGAAGTGACGAGTTTACCAGGGTACTAATTAAATACATAATTTGTTGGAAAATATAAGATTTATTGCAACTTTGAGCATATTATACATTAAATATCTTAAAATCAAATAATACCACACATCAGTGGCGGCTGGTGGATTTTGGGTATACCAATATCTTAATTATTAGATATGGGACTTACACCAAATTTATAAGAGTTTATAATGACATTAAATAAACAAGTTCTGCGCAAGCAGAATTTAAATTGAAGTTTGCGAAAAAAAGATAACCGAAACATCGAACATGGAACTGACGACACGGTACTGATGAATGGGATACAAATTTGAGATTATAATTCGGAATTAAGTGTTTTACTGATATTTTTTATTAGTGGATGCTTCTTATCAACAAATCACATATAGCCTTATATAAATTACAATGAAATATATATACGAAAATAATTACTCACCACAGTACTGAAATTTTGACTGGAACTATACGTGCATTCACCACAACTTCGCCGCTTACATAGTTTTCAAGAAGACTGTCGTGCAAAGGGCGGGCTCTTTAGGTAATTTTTTACCAACACTTGAGTTAAAACGAGGACTTGACGTTTATTATTATTTCGCAGGAATTTTGAATTTTAACATTCGACACAGAACTGACGGGTAAAAGTGAGTACAAAGATTATCAATTTTTTAAAAATTGCTATTATTCGAATCTATGATAAAATATGAAAAATTCATATTTTATGTTTTGAATATTTATTATGTTTTTATACAAACGTGCTTTTGAAAAAAATACATTAAAATTGGGTGGACAAGTTAAAAAAACCTGGATCTTTTGTAATATACTAAAATGTTTACAAAAAATATTAAAATACCTTCTCCATTGACTGATGACATCAAGTTGTCCAACTTTTGTAGAATCACCCATATATACTATGTAGTACATGAATTAATCAGGCATAGCATACATTTAAAGTTATTTTAAGAAAAACAGCAAAAAATGAAATTAAATTGTATTACTAACAAAATATATATACGGGAGTCGGACCAAGAATTTTTATTAAGTGCTACATAATTTGTTGTGACACACAGACAAACTCATTAGAAAGAGAGAGACGAATGTATTTAATTTAGTGGTGGACGTACGCGGCAGTGTAAAAATTTAAAAAAATGCATATGTAAATTTTACTGATTTTTTACAAAAATGGCGGATGCACCGGGATAATTAGTTTGAATCAATGGTTCTTCAGTCCCATAGTGCAATAAAATATGTGGGCACTCTTATCGCACGCATTCCTACACTATACCATGATTTAATTGTGAATAAAATCATCAACAGCTCAATTACTGGCTGCAAAATTGTCGAAAATGTGTTGTAGGATATCTTGAATTCTTTTATAGTGCGTTGTATATTGAACAAGGTAGGTGTTTAATTTATTTTGTTAAAATTTATTTATTTTCGTTAATTTTTATTTATAAATTTACCACTCGTAAAAATGGCAACACCTCTATAATTAAAAAAATATTTAATGTATTCTGATCTTTAAAAAAAATGTAGTTGGACCTGGGTGTGACTTTTTTATGATGAGCATGTACTTCAAATAATAATATTTTAATGTCTTTGTTTGTTTTCAATATAACGAATATGCATTTAATCGCATTAAAACAATAATAAAGCTGCAGATAAAATATCTGATAACATGCATAATTATTTGCCTAAATTTGATTTAAAATAATTCTTTGTACATATACAAATAAGTAGTTGTATTAGTGGTAATCTTAAATATACAAAATTTGTAATTAGGTAAGTAAACCAGTGATTTTTCAAACTTAAACCTATATTTTAATATTTAATTTAAATTAATTTAATTAACAGGATGGATGGCCAAAATTTGACAAAGTCGCAGAAGAAAAGGCAGAAGAAAAAACGTGCATATATCAGACATAGAAACTCCTCGCATTATCAAAAAATTGACTGTGATGTGGAGGACAATTTTATTCCATTCGAGGAGGATTGGGATTTTCACTTGTCGTACTACAATTTTATGACCACGGAAGCCTATAAACGCTGCATGAAAAGAATAAATGCACCTGAGAATTATAAAAAGGAATTTCTTATGCTCAAGTGTTATATATGCTTCACTTGTAAAAATGCATGTTTGGATTTATTGAGAGAAGAATTGCATACAACAAGCAATATGGGCTTCATAAATGGTGATCTGTCGAAAGTAGAAATGATTCTGGACTTCACTACTGGAATTATTACGGAAATCACCAAGTCAGAAAAGCAGGAATTGAAATTATTTACAAGGCAGATTAAAAGTGCTGCTTTGAGTATTTTTGATTATGAGGCGACGTTCACCATTGAAGTGTATATTAATGGGGAGAGCTCTAAAATATTACCAGAAAAAAATATTGGGGACAAACAAGCAAACTTTGCAATCAACAAGAAGGATTACAAGACGACACAAAAATCTGGAGAGGCATCAAAATCGCAAACAAAAAAGCAACTAAAATTTGCTAAATTCTTCTCCAAAAAAATTAAAAAAGTTGAAATCAACCAAGTTGAAAATGATGAAGGACCTGAGGAAGAAAATAAGTGCAATCCAGAAAAGAAAATTGCAAAAGACAAAACTACAAATCTGGACGGTATGATGGACAACATCAAATTCTCCAAAAATAGCAAAAAAGTTGAAATCAACCAGATTCAAAATGATGAAGGACCCGAGGAAAAAAATATTATTGAAAAGGAAAAAAATTCAAAAACTACAAATCTGGGCGGTATGCTGGACAATATTAAATTCACCACCAAAACAGCAATGAAAATCCACGGAATATCAAACATGGATGATAGTGACAGTGACGATGGCCTGAACGATTTTGATGAACAATATTTAAAAATGTTGCCACCTGCTAGAAAATTGAGTCCAGAACGTATTGTAATTATTAAATGTAATGATGAGAATAAATGAAACTATTTTGAATAACTTAATTTTTATTTTTATTGTCATTGCTACAAATTTTGGTAAATTAGCAAATTTGTGGCATTTTTTCTCCAGATTTAAATATCGAAATTAGAAAAACAATAAATAATAGTTATTTATGTCATTAGGTTAAGAAGTAAGGCTTTTTGTGCTAAGCTCAAAGTTTGAAGGCCGACGCGTAGCGGAGGCCTACAATTGAGCGAAGCACAAAAAGACACTTCTTGGCCGAATGGCATACAACATTTTATCTTCAAAGCACTTTATATAGGTCAATTTAATTCAACATGAAATCGCCCTAACCTCACTTTTTTAGAACCTCATTTATTTATTAGCTAAAGATTACATTAAATGTACAATAATTATT